TAAATTTTTTGTGAAAAAGTTGTCATTTTAAATCCCCCCCTGTGGGCAGGTAAAGGGTCAGATATAAAAAAAATATATACCAAATGATAGGTAAAGACATCATGCATCTATAAAAAAAAATTATATTGATCCATACATCTTTCAAAAAGTTATAGCATAATAAAGTTAAAAATGTAAAATACAAAATCGAAAATTTTTACACAAAAATAGCATATAAAAAAAATAATTAAAATAATTTATAATTATTAATAATTATAAAAAAGTTATGGTACTTTTAAGTAAAAAAAATTGAAAAAATTTCGAAAATTAGCGATTTTTAAATTTGTAATTTTTTTGCAGGTTTCCCCCATTTACGGGGAACGAGGGAATTTTTTTCAATTTTTAAGGGTAATGTCTTCGACTAGATACGATTTGTGATCTTTTGACGTATCATTGAAAGAAATTCGTTCGGTGAGAGCTGAGAAAAAGTGGTAACAGACACAAAAAAAAAAAAAATAAATAAACACATCTTATTTAAATAATACCTTCTCAGCTTCGCATCGAAGCTAAAAATCTAACATTTGTAAGGTTTCAGCCAAACCAGAGGGCCTATTATTTACCCACTGTCCAAGGGAACACTGAACAGTGACCTATAGCCGAGCCAAGCGAGGATAGTACTCGTTGATGGAGCTACTAGGTTTTGATTTAAAAGAAAAACAAAAATTAATAATAAATATGAGGGAAAAGTATGAAGAAAAAAAAAACTTAGGCCATGTAAAGTATAATATTTTAATTTAATTATTTAAAACTGATACCTATATTAACGCGTATCCAATATATGGTTGAATGTGTACACAATGTGCCGAATAAACAAATATATATATAGTTAACTTGTCGCGTATTCAATAAGCGGTTGAATGTGTACAAAGAAATACCAAATTAATAAAAACGGTAGCACAGTGGGGTCGAGGCACAGTGTGGACGAGGCATAGATGGGACAAGTATAGATGATATCTGACAGTGATTAAAATCACTATCATAAGAAACGCTTCGATGCAAATCTGTAGATAGTGTTTCATTTAGAGAAATTGGTGGATTATTCCAAAAGGAACATCAACTCTTATTTCTTTAATTATATCCTGATTAGCAGTTCTTTGATTTTAAAATATAATATATTTATAAATACTAACTAATTATAAAAACTAATTATAGTTTTTAAATTCAGTATAAAATTGTGAGTNAGCAGTTCTTTGATTTTAAAATATAATATATGAATAAATACTAACTAATTATAAAAACTAATTATAGTTTTTAAATTCAGTATAAAATTGTGAGGCCAGCTATGATCTATAAAAAGCAACCGTAATATGAAAAAAATGGAATATAAATTTTAGTACTCACATTAAATGTAATGTAACTCGA